TTTTGTTTTTTATAGAAGTATTACAGTATGCTTGACATTTTTTCCCCTTCTAACCCACAGTAGGCGTATGCTACAGCCATCAAGGTCCTATCTGGCCATGTTTGTTCTGTGGGTTACAGAAGTTAGCTGCACTTTCTGTGGGTCAGACCTATACAGTGTCACTAGTTGGTAAAATATATAAGACTAAAGTTCCACAAAAATTCTGACAATTACTTATTGTTAACTATTTGGGGGTTAAAAAAAACAAACTTTAAAATCATCACATCTAGTACCAAATAGCAAGCACCCACTGAGTGATTTAAGATGAGCCTGGCATGACTATTGCCTCTTAGAAGACTCAGTATGAGCCAGGACCTCATGCAAGCTTATCTCTTGCTCTGCCATTGACTTACATGCCTGGTTCCGTATGCTTTCCTATTGGTCTTAACTTACTCATTTATTCAAGAAAGTGGTTGAATTTTACATGACTCAGTGTGAGAAACTAAGGATAAAGTCATGATTTAAAAAGCTGAATGTTGTTCACTGTCATGTAATGTGGTAGCTACAAGTTCTTCCTCCATAGCAAATAGTAAGGAACCTTGCAGGGTCTTCTCAGGAAGCCTTGTCTGCAACCTTTTACCTCACCCCCAAAGTCCCCAGAATGTGCCTGAGGTGCTCTGTCTCCTGTTCAACACTGAACACGTGTTTCACATTCTGAGACGTTTTACATGAATAGGTGTCTGGAGGTTCAAGCAAAACACGTTGAGCTTATTTTTTTGCAGATGTGAGAGACACATTGTTTAAGATGATTGGTGCTTTTTTGACACTTGTAGTCAATCTGAAGTTCCCTTTTCATGCAAATACATTTGGTTGACCAAAAGCTTTGTTTCACCATAAGCTATCTACAACTCTACATATTTTACTTCTTTCTTTGAGGCCCATTGTGCCAGGAGTTATGGGAGGGGAGCCAGCACTGATATGTTAAGCATTCTGTCTTATCCAAGAGGTGTTTCATAAATTATGTATAACAGTAGATGCCACTCAATAAATATTTTATATGTGATAGATATTTTTGTCTGAAATTACTTTTTCACTTGAGCAATGATTTAAACCCTCGTTTTCAGTTTTATGAGGTGACACTTTTATAATATCATGTAGTCGAATGCAGCTTGAATGTCATGGAGCTTTAGGGCAGCATTAATCAAAAATTCATTTACCCCACGCTCCAGCCTGGGAAACTTTTCTGGGTGCAGGTTTTGCCCATGCCAAATATGTATGTGTGCCAGTGAGTGTGTGTGTGTGTGTGTGTGTGTGTGTGTGTTGGATGACTGGGGACAAGTAATGCTTTTGACCTAATAGCTTCAAAGTTGTGAATTTCCAATGTTTTCTAAGTCTATAAAACTTCAAGGAAGAAAAAGAGAAGAGAATGATTTTCTTTCTTTCTTTCTTTCTTTTTCTTTTTTTTTTTTGGGGGGGGGTAAAGAACATTAGAGTGAACTTGGATGTAATCCAAAATGATTTTTCTTTCTGGCTTAATTCAAAACTGTTATGATTTAAAATATCCTCTTTCCTTCCTTCCTTCCTTCCTTTCTTCCTTCCTTCCTTCCTTCCTTCCTTCCTTCCTTCCTTCCTTTCTTAAATTTATTTAGCTTTTGAGTTTCAGGCATTCAGTTAGGATTTGGTTCAATTATTCAAAAATTATCTGCTTTTTCTTCTTCTTCTTCTTTTTTTTTTCCTGGTTGTGTGGGTTCTTGTCCATGGTTTTTGTAGGAAGAAAACACATATGGCTCTGGACTTAGGAGAGTAGTCACTTTTCTTTTCATGTCTATGGTAGAAACAGCTCATCGCCTTGGAGCCTCTAACCTTTATGAAGCATTATCTCCTCCTGGTTCAGAGACTAGACCTTCCAGTGGGACATTGTTTTATAGATGGAACTGCATGATTAAATTCTCTTTATATATGTGAAATATATATATATATATATATATATGAAATTACATGTGTCCATGTATATCATTTCTGTTGGAATTCCATCATCAGGAGGAGAGGCATGGATCCTACCATGAGAGGCAGAAGTAGGACTTATTCTATGTAGAGTGCTCATTTTAGCCACAATTTGCAAGAGCTTTGGCATCATAAATCAAGGTTACTGAATCTCCCAACCTCAAAGCCTGAGGTTCCCAACCGTGGAATGAGAGCTTGGTTGATACGGGGAATAATTGGAGAACAATGATAGCTTCATTTCCTTTTCTAGAATCTAACTTATGCATTGGTCGCTTATCTACATATTTATTTAAAGGTTATTAAATTAAATTGCTTTCTTCCAAGTGATTTTTAATGCCTTTTTTTTTTTTAACCCTTCTTATTGGGTCCCTTCATTCTATCGCCCTCTTGTGTGGCTTCAGGTTTCCAAGTGTGCATTTGAAACCTAAACGTCTAAAGAAGGAAGTTCCAAGGGATTCCCCACTCTTCATGCCCCATCCCTGAACTTAGGTCAAGATTTGAGTTTTGCTTTGAGTTTAGCTTGAGAGGTTCAGAACCTTTTGCATAGAGGATTCTAGGTGGTATGTTGTTTGCCTGATTAAATGACACCATAGTACATAGATTCTTCCCAAAAGTAAAAGGTGTCATCTCTGAGATAGAGAAATGTGTCTTGATGGCAAGTGAGCATTGGGGAGACATTTACTAGGAGTATCTCTGCCCGACAAACCTGGTCTGTAGCTAGTATCTGCTACCCAGTTAGTTCATCCCTCACATCTACAACACAGTCACACACTTGGGTATGATTTAGTTCAGACTCAGCCAGCTCAGTTTCATCTGAAACTTTCACACAATTTCTTTTTTAGAATCTGAAAGCTTCCCACCTTCAACTCCAGAACCTTAATTTAGTTTTGGACCAGTTAGGCATGGAGTGAAGACATGAGCTTGTTGGTTTCTTGTCTAGGGGATTATTCTAAGTCCACATATGACACACTGCCCTAACTTCTTATGTCTATCCACTTGGCATTCCTTTGGAAAGTGTGAGTTCCAGAACTGCTAAAGAGGGGAACAAGTAAACATGGAAAAAGTTGGTCCTTGATGTTTTGTAGTGGGGTGGAGTGAGGGACTTTGAACTGAGATATGAAAGAGGTGATGAGGTATGTTATATATCTATAGAGGAGAATGCTTCTCAACCAAGGCTGTTTGTGTACACCAGGGGACACATGGCAATATCCAGAGGCATTTTTGGTTGCCAGTACCTTGTGGAGATGGAGGGTATTATCTGCATTAGAGAACAGAAGCAAGGGATACTGCCACTGCCAGGTATCCACCAGTGGTTAAGAATGGCTTATAAGTGTCAGTAGTGGTTAAACAGTTGGACTAGCCAGCAAGTTTGGGGACCACAGGAGGCAGGGGTGGGACGTTAGTGTAGGTTAGGAAGGATGAAGCCAGGCTGTACTTGTAAAGCAGTATGGAGACTCAAACTTTTCTCTCAGCGACAGTAGAGAGGCATTTACATCTCTGAGCTGAATCACCTGCTTAGACATCTCTCTAGCTGCTGAATTATGAATTTAAGTGATGACTTGGGTCATTGTAGCAATCTAGGTGGAAGATAATGATGATTTGGGGTTGGCCAAAATAGTGCAGGAGTTTCCTGTTACTAGACTTGATGCGTAATTTGACGGTATATTCAAGTTAGAGAAAGAAGGGAGTGAACTATGGCTACAGTTTTTCATCTGAGTAACTGTAAGGAAGACTGGCATTTGCTGAGATGGGGTGCATAGTCTGCAGGCTTGAGAGGCTTTTTGTTGTTGTTGTTCTTTAATATGTTAAGTTTGAGCTGCTAATCTGGTATTTATATAGAGAAACTGAGCTAAGTGGGTATAAGTATGCAAGTATGGTGTTTAAAGGAGAGGTACGTCCTGGCAATTTTGATTGAGTCCTCAGCATGTGGATAACTGGTAAGTCAAGAGTCAAGATGAGGTCCATCATCCAGGGAGTGAGTATGAGTAGAGTTCAAATTGACAGACCCCATGATGTAATTTCAAAAGAGTAGCAGGGGGGAACTGGAGAGAGAAGTACAGGGAAATTTGAGGTGTGTGGTATTTTTTCTTTGGGGCTACAAAGTAAATGCTGGACTGAGGGAGGTGATGGTAGTTGTGGTTTGTGTTAGTCCTTTTCTATTGCTGTGATAAAAACAACATGAAGAAGACAACTTGTAGAAGAAAGAGTTTATTTTGACTTACAGTTCAGAGGGGTAAGATTCCATCATAGGGGACTATGTGGCAGTACAGGGTAGCCATGGCAGCAGGAAACTGAGAACTTCCATGGCAACTGGGAAGAAGAGAAAGCAAATTAAAAATGGTGGAAAGTTTCTAATCTCAAAGCCTGGTCTCAGGGACTTGCTTCCTCTAGCAAGGCTCTATCCACTACCTAAACCTCTTAAAACAGTGCCACCACCTGGGGACCAAATGTTTAAATACCTAAGACTGTGGAGAACATTTGTCATTAAAACCACTCCATGAATGGAGTGGGAAGATGTGTATAGGTGGGAGTGCTCTGCATTCCTCAGAAGATGATATGGGGTCTGGGTGGTATCTCTAGTGCAGAAATGCTGGGCTCAGTCGGGGAGCTGTTGAGAGCATGCTCAGTACAACCTGATGACCAGAGAGAAGGATTGGCAATTAAAGAGACTTCTAGTTATTAAAGTCCAGGATTTGAAGAAGGGAGAAAGATTACTTTATAGAGGATGATTGTAAAGTCTTTGCTGAGGGAGATGGCCCTTGAGATTGACTTTGAAAAGGTTATATATATCAAGCTAAGAGTTTAATTCATTTTATGTTGAACATTTTATATGTTCCAAGTTCACTTTGCCTACTGCCTGCCAGGTTTTCCACATGAAATTTAAAGTCCATTTTTCTTTCTGTTTCTTTATTATAAGAAATAAAATATGACTCATTTCAAATATCTAAAGAACACCTAATGTGAAGTTGTCTTTCACCAAAGTAACCTTTTTCTTCTGTCTCTCCTCCCAATTTCAGGAGCAAACTCTGGCCCTCAGGAAAGAGGGGATTGGTGTGGTTCTGGATTCTGAGCTGCCTCACTTGATTGGCATTGATGACGACCTTCTGAGTACTGGGATCATCTTGTATCACTTGAAGGTAGAAACTGCTTAAGTGGAACATTCTAATTTTGTTTCCAGATTTCCCTTTAGACTCCAGCAAGGTTTATTATAATACTTTATGGCCATGAATACAACTATTAAATTAAAGAATATACAACAAATTCTTGAGCCTTTGGGGATTTTCTACAGTTCATTGGGATTCAGTGGTATTTGAAGTTCCTGTGTTTATAGAGTTCTGAAGTTAAATGATGAGTCATCCCTTTTGTCTTCTCTTCTGCAGAATCAGGAAAAAAAAAAAAGGAGATAAGGGGGAGGGGGAAGGCAGAAAAACTGAGGAAGGAAGAAGGACCCATAATTGGGATTTGTTATGTGCACAGTTGTTGGTTCTTCCTGGTAGTTACAAAATGGTACCTTCATCTTAGATGGTTAGGCTTGATTCTGAACAGTTCTCACTGTTCTAGAGAGTAAAGTTTCTTGTCAGTTCTCAAGGATTACCTCTGTGACCTTGACTTTAATGCATTCTCTCTGATCTATGACTCAAATTGAGGTTTTTTTTTTTGTTTTGAGTTTTGTGGCCTCTCATACCATGCATCTTTGGATGCAAAGAAACCCTTGTCCACTGAAGGGGAGACTCTATAGAAAGGATCTGAAGCATCTTTGAAATTGATGGCCCTAGCAGACTGCAAGAGCTTGGCCTCTTTGAGCAGTTTTCCTCAGCAGTGGTGCTGATACTTAGCAGACCATGTAGGGTGTCACTTTGGTGTTCAGTACACAGCTCACTGAGGCCATTGCATGCCCCAGACCCTGCTTATTCTGATGCCTGGTTGGTGAAATGCATCAAGGTGGAATGAGAAGTGGAAAAGCAGGCTGTCTGTCCTTCTGCACTCACTAATATTGACTTTTCTTCTCAGGAAGGTCAGACTTATGTTGGCAGAGAAGATGCTTCAACAGAGCAAGATATTGGTGAGACTCTATCAATAACCCTCAGTGACTATAAGAAAAAACATTTTGAATAAACAATCTTCTTTTTCTTAATTGACATTGAGGTAGTTATAAGAGAAAATGTTGAAGCATACTGCTTGGTATATGTATACCTACAATTTTGACCACAACTCAATTAAATAAGAAGCACAGTTAATTCAGTGAATAAAATAGAAGAATGACTTCTTTCTACCACCCCACATATGTTCTCTATCCTGCTAGTATAGTTATTTAAATCACAATGCACCTGTCACTCTGTACTTGTCACAGTGATTGATGGAAACAAGCCAGCAGACATGGATAAAGCATCCTAGGGTTTTTAAAAGTCAGGATATAGATAGTTCTCTACACAAAGATGATGGCAAAGCATGAGACCAAGACCACATCAGAAATCATGGCCTCCTGGGAGTCCTGTGGTCTTCAGAAGACATACAGCCAGTCAGCAGTTCAGCCTGAGAAGATGACAGCCTGCACAGTGTTCTGAGCAGCCCTTAGGCAGTCTGTGGTAGAGAATTTGGTGGTAGTATGTTTATCTGAGCAGAGGGTCAGAATGGTGACTGGGGGAAGAATTATACCATTTCAAGATACATTTAGAGTTGCTGGTGGGGAACTTGCTTTTCTATCAAGTATATGCTAATGAGCCACATGTTGAATGTTTATCTATACACTTAGTATGTACTAGAGATGGGGAGAGCTGAAAAAACCATTCCAGAAGCTCCCAGACTCAAGTATTTTTGAGTTTGCTTTTATAGCAAACCCCTTGTTTGAATTATGCATTTGATCTTGGGAGTAGCTGTAAATGATGATGGTTGATAAAGACAGTGTTCTCTGGTGAAAGACATTCAGTAGTGCTGTTCTGCAGAGAAAGTGGGAGCCTCTCCTGAGAAACAGAGGTGTTCACACCTGCCATTGCCAGGAGTATCAATAATCAGATAACCATCAACAACTGGCTGTTCTCAGAGGTCTCAGAACCAGCACAGACTGTGGCCCTGGCATCTCAGAGAAGCCTCTGGAAGCTCTAGGACCTCCAGGTCCATGCCATGCTATAATGCCTCTGCTTTGTGTTTCTGGGAGGCATTATCTGTAAGTGCAAAGACCCACATGCTTTCATTCTTGTCTTGCTGTGGCTGGCAGAAGTTTGTCAGTGTTGAGCAGTGACTCTTAGTTAAACAAGCTACTCAACTGTGTCTTCCTATTAGGAAGAGTAAGCTGCTGTGGCAGAGCTCACTGTTACAGGGGATAGTCAGACCTTTTGAGGTGACCATCAGTGGATGCCTCTGTCTCTGCCACTTGACATTGTAGACTCACTGAACATAATTGTCCACAGAACTACTGTGAAAAAGAAAAGGTATTCAAAATGAAAATGAAATAGTCAGGAATCATCATAGCAGACACCAAAGTGGGAACCAACTTTTTCTTTGTTTTTCTCTCCTAGTCCTTCATGGTCTTGACTTGGAGAGTGAGCACTGTGTCTTTGAGAATGTTGGAGGAACAGTGACTCTGATACCCCTGAGCGGGTCCCAGTGCTCAGTGAATGGTGTTCAGATCGTGGATGCCACACAGCTAAATCAAGGTACCTGGTTTTGCTTTTCAGAGATCTCTGTATATGTTGAGAAAGCAAGCTGGCATCGGGTAACATATGCATCCTATTGATTAAGGGACACACAGGGCAAAGACTGCTTGCCTCCTGTGTTTTCTATCTTTGTGGCAGCTGCTTTATAAAGCCCACTGTCTTGTTGCATTAAGCATGACATTTATGGATATTTATAATTATTATGAGAATTAGCTATTAGAGAATTCTTAAAGTTAAAAGTACCTCTTACAAGTAAACATTTAATGCACTGATTTTCTTTAATACTTTTACTTCCAAAGTTTATGTCCTTCTTGTGAGTATTTACAACTATACACACAGGATGGGTATCATGTCTTTTCTGTTTGACACAACTTCAGTATTCTAAAAAAGGGGGAAGGTGTAAAAGTAGCGCAGAGCTTTTTAAATCACAGATCCATGTGAAAGTACCTATTATATCTTTGTCTGCTTTTCCCCTCTCTGGAGCTAAATTGATAAGATTATGAAAAGAAAAGGTGGTCCCAGGATTTGAGCCTGTGGTGAATTAAACCATTTACCTCATGACCAGAAAACAAAAGAGAAAAGGGAGGCACACTGTAACTATCTGAGGACCTTTCCAGAGACCACACCTCTTAAAGGTTCCAACTGTTTCAAACTCAACATGTCCTCTAGGGGACTATTGGAGTTCTGATTATGACAGTGTCCAGACTATGAGTACACTGCTATATATTTCCTCCATCAGTGAGATTCTCGATACATCTACAGTACAGCCATACAACTAGAAAATGAATGGTGGTCCTCAGACCTCATTTTGGTTTGGCCATTTGCTTCTCATGGATCCAGCATCATGCTTGGTATTGTGGGCCACATCTCTAGTTTCTTAAATCTAGGGCAGGTCCTTGGTCTTTCATGGACTTTATGACATTGAAGAGTATGTCAGATGCATTGTAGGATCTCCCTCTGCTTAAATGTAGGTTTCTCTGGTGTTTTTCATAATTAGACTAATATTATGTGTGTTTGTACAGACTAGGCTAGGACTGTACCACTGAGTGGCTTACACTTCCAATATGATGCATTTCTGACAGCGTTGTATTTTTCTCTTCTCCCACCCCACATTGCCATCTGTCCACTGCTGCTGGTTCTTTGGTAAAGGTGGAGCTGGCCAGGCATTTTTACTGTGAAGTTACTTCCTCTAGCTTTGGTTTTAGATAATGCTTTTGGGAAGGCATTTTGATTATCAGTATTCTTTCCCTTGTCATATGTTGATTCATGGTTCCAAAAACTGTTTTTTTTTGTTTGTTTGTTTTTGTTTTGTTTTCGAAACAGGGTTTCTCTGTGTAGCTTTGGAGCCTATCCTGGCACTTGCTCTGGAGACCAGGCTGGCCTTGAACTCAAAGAGATCCTCTGCCTCTGCCTCCCAAGTGCTGGGATTAAAGGCGTGCACCACCAACGTCCGCCCAAAAACCTGTTTTTTTAAATTTTGCTGAATTATTCTGTTGGTTGCAAAAGGCTAACTGCTCATCATTTCTTCTACATTTGCCAATTGAATTTTTAGTGTAAGGAAAAGCCTTTTCTTATTGCTATTTGTTTATTCATGTATTTAGATTAGCAGGGTCACATAGGCATTGTATTTAGTATTTGTTCTGTTTTGCCATTATTTATTTTGATTGTTCAAATTGTCCCACATTTGGTCAGTGCGAATTTCTTCAAGGTGGCTTCTGTGTTTGTTGGCTTGACCTCATTGTTTTGTGAACTCTTGGTTACTTTCTGAGATAAGATATCTAGGCTCACTCCTTGAACTGTCCAGTTCCTTAAAGAACACTGTCTATCCAGTGTGCACTGTGCATAGAACTTAACAGTTAACTTTGGGTGATTATTCACTCTTATGCTGCCCAGAAAAGAAGAATCACTGGTTTACTGAGTTTCCAGAAATTCCTTAGACAGCTGCACTTATGTCTCCTATTTTCTTCTGGATTAAAACTTCTTGATAACTATCTTACATGAAGCAATTTTATTTTATATTTTATTTTATTTTGTTCTTCTACTTAACTAGATAGCTCAATTTAAAACATGTCTGCTTTTTTAGTAGCAATTCAGGTTAAGAAAGAAAGTTCTGATCTTTTAAACTATCTCAGATGTGACTTTTGCTAAGAGGGTCTTACAACTAATTGACATTGAGGGCTAATTGCAGGACTTGTCTTTCCCTGTGGGATGCTCTCTTAATTCTTTAATTATCATAGTGCCATGGTGCTGTTCAGATCCAGTGGGCTTGAGTTCCTCCATCATTATGCTGAGCTCCTTGTACTGCTTCTACCATGTTTGAAGGTATAAAAGCATTGTACACATAGTACACTGACAAGCATCAGGGCAGGGGATTCTAGATGGCATTGAGATCAAGGCATTTTATGAGGTTAACAGAAGGACAACCTTTTTCCCCCTACACTTTCTTTCTTTAACATATATTCTGTCCATGATAAGACATCTTCAGACTTTCATAAATTAAGAAATAAAATTACCTACTTTGGCTTGCTTGGTGTTTGTAGATTTTTAAAATGAAAACTGGATCATGTTTTAAAAATACAAAGTGATAGATAAATTGAAGGTGTGTGAAAGAATGTATGTAGTGAAAATAAGAAGAAGTAAATGGGACTGACACATCCCTCCCCCAGATCATCTTCCCTGCCAGAGAAGGAGGAAGATTTGTATGCAAGGATCAAAGAGTATCTCAATAAGCATTTAATTTTTTAAAGCCTATAGTAAAGTGTAAAATCTGGACTTTGTTAAAAACATAATAAATGGGGAGCAGGATTAAATGAAGCAGTATTTTATACTTAAAACCCTCTCTTGACTTTTGCCCATGAAGCAGGGTTTGAAAGTAAGTTTTGTAGAGCACTTCCCCACAGTCCTGCTTAGGTGATTTTTGCAAAGTCAGGTGTTTTGAATTGACTTTTGGCAGCCACACCTCTTGGAGACGGATCTTGGGGTAGCTGGACAGCTGCTGATTATATGTACAGAACATTGAAAAAATTATAGCAGACCATTTATTATGGCTCATGATAATTCACACTTTTACCCTCTGAAACCTTGACTTGTATATGTTCTTAAATCTTCTTGGCTTTCCAAGCCAGGCATGGGTTCTATTCATAGCCCTGAAGATCATGAACTCCAGGCCACTTTGGTTTCTCACCCCTGTTGTCCTAACTCTAGTCTCTGGCTTATTGTAGTGGTTATTGATCAGTCATCCTTTCTGGCCCATCATTCCTTGGTTCTCAGAATTGGCCTGGTTTATAAACTATTGATTGGATTTATGAAAGACATAACAGAAGAAACAATTTGGTAACAGTTCTCTGCTTTCAGAACAAAAGGGATCTAGGACAGAAAACACAGATGTATGTCAGCCCATATCATAATGATGTCTTACCACATTACCCTCAATTGACTCATCCCAGGTTCATCTCATGTTACTCCCAGCACCCTCCCCTATCATTGCCAGTTTCCAGCTTGTTGCTGATATTCGATATTCAGCTGTCTCTTCGTTGGTAAATTACTTTCATTTGGAAATGTGCTAGGCTGTGCCATTAAAAAAGCACAAGTAGTAATTACAACTTCCTTATCTAAATCACTTAACACATTCGAATGCCAACTAATAGATTTGTCACCATTAGGGACAAGGGTGGGTTTATTTTTCTTTTCTTCATTTTTAACTTGTGTCAGTGAACTGCCTTCTTTTAAACACCCCCCCCCACACACACATTAAATAATAGGCAAGATTCTCATCCATTAGCATTGTCAGTAAAATGAAGAGTATTTGCTGGAACTGTAAACATGAATGGGATGAAATATTCCTTGTATATTGTCAGTGCCTGGCATAAGACACCTTTCCCTTCATCTTCAGATGTAAGCATACCTGTGTCTTAATGGATACCCAGAACTCAGGTCCCCTGCCTCTCATAATCCCATGGTAGCTCCGTAAAATGAGTGCATAGAAAGAAGAAGGTAAATATTTGACCATGATGCCTTATCCAGAGACCAGAGCTCTTCTTGGTAGAGCCTAAGTCCTCCGAACACCAACCACCATATATTTAATAAGAAATGGCATAATAACCAAGTGTTCTGTAACTCAGGAAATACTTAAGCCTTGTCTTGGAATTTCCAGAAACTAGTGTTTCGTATTTGAATCATTTTTTTGCTGTATTTTATGTTTTTCAAGCTGGTCATTGTTAATGTAATTAATTTTTACATTCATATCAGTGGACACCTTTGGTCTTCCTGCTGGTCTGTCAGATCCATTGAACATTCATCTCTCATTTTAGCAGTGCTACAGAAACTGCACCTTGGAAATTCACACTTAGGTGCATTTGAATGTGATATGCTTGAGTGCCAAAATATATTTGCATTTATTCAAGTACCCCGAAAGAGGGAACAGGTGATTGTCTGCAGAGTGGAGCTGAGGAGCCTTTGATAAAATTTTCATCTGCTGGAGGGCTGCTGTGAGTTGCTCAGTGACAAATTAAAAAGGAACTTCAGTGGCACTGGGAAGGAAAATAGATCTTTGAGGGTTGAACCAAGGTATCCAGCTAAGGCAAAGAATCTGCTTGCTACAGAGGGCTGGAAAATAGGAGCCTCTCTTCCTGTCAACTCCGATGTATTGACCTGAGCACTCCTCACTTGCCTTCCTCAAGTTAGAGACCTGAAAATTGAGATTCTTTTAAATGTCAAAGCCTGAGCTCTTTTTAAAATGGTTCTCCAAGTATGTTCCAGGCCAGTGACATCAGCATTACCTGAGAGCTTATTAGATACACAGATTCCTAAGCCGTATGCTGCTGAAGATCTAGGGTTGAGGCCCTAGTGACGTGGGGCTTTCTTTGTGTCTGGAAATAGTTCTGATGCATACTTCTTCGTGAGAGCAGCTGACTAAAGCTAGTCACACTGAAACCAGATTCTTGACACCCTGGACATTGGCAGAAAACAGTTATTTGCCTATCTTCACTTTTTTTTTTTTT